TAGGAAATTAATATTTTAATTAATTGTCGCTTTCGGTTGCCTGATATCTGTGGCCACGTATCTGATGCTCCTGCGTTTGGTGTGGCTGTGGCAATAAATTAGACACCGCCGACTTAAGCATCAGTTTCACAACGAAATGATTTTATTCCGAAGAGGTGAGAAAAAATAATGCCGACCGACGCGGCGCGTTGAATTAGCGCAAGAACGAGACGATCAGAAAATCAAGTGATCTGGTGATCTGGCCGTGATTGCATGCGAGATCAGACACTCGAATACACTTTTAGCTCTTTCGACGGTTAATTTTTGTTTGGGATAATTACAGAGCGGCGGCCAACAAGCGGCTGCATACACTTGATGATGATATGGCGGCAGTTGGTTGGACGCTGCGCGCAGTACACGCAACTTCGGACCGTAACAGCAGCAAGTCCCCAACAACAACAGAGTACCAACAACAATATAGTAATTGCAAAGCGTGTGCAGGCATTTTGCAATTGCTGATTGCCGCTGCTGTTGCTATTGCTGATGCTGTCGTTGTTGTTATTGTTAATATTGCCACAATATCACAACCTGCGGCCTGCAATCAAAATCCTTAGCAGCGTTAAGTAGCAGGCGCAGCAACAACAGTCTTTGCAGCTGTAAAGTTGCTGCAATTGCAAAGTATATATACGCTTACCACAGTCTTCTGCTCCCTCGGTTTTCTACTCAGTCCATGGTAGTCCATGATAGGCAGCATGTCCAGCTATACATAAATGCTTGGTGTGGCGTCCTTCGCAATAATGCTCAACTGCATTTTAATAGTTATATCAGCATCAACATTTCTTTATTGACTGAATGAACCACTGACTGAATTAACTGAATGATTGAATCTCAGTCGTTGCTCTTGTTCTCTTGTTACTTTTGTTGTTGCTATTGCTGTTGCGATAATATATTATGTTGTGATGTGTTGTGTTGTGTTGTGTTGTAGTATGTTTTGGGGCGAAACCTCCCAGACATGCCCTCAACTTGCTCTTGCTACAGACATTTTTGAGCCATTGAAATTAATGTCAGTTCTAAAAAGCGTTGATCTTCATCACTGCACTATTGAAACTTAACCAAGTTTTGCGTCATATGAGCAAGTGGGTCTGTCAGCCTGTCAGCCTATCAGCCTGTGAGCCGTCAATAAGTCAGTGAGCGAGAAAGTCAATGCATATGTGAGGATTTCAATCTACCAACACTTTTAGTCTCGCACCACATTCAATCGTCCCTCTTTTTGATTGTATACAAACGTTTGTTCGTTAGTTAGTCCGTTCGTCCGTTCGTCCGTTCGTCCATCCGTCCCCAATCGTCCGTCCGTCCGTATGTTCGTTCATGTGCTTTTACATTGCACAACGTTCATTTACTTGTTGAATCTTTCAAATTGAGCCTCCGAGGAAGCTAATCAAAAATTTTCTCACCTCTTTTTCGTGTGATGTGAAGCGCAATCACTTTTTGATAGCATGTTTCCCTCCGTGCACGTAAGCCGCACACTGCTGTTCCCAAAGCCAACGGTTGAAGTTTTTGAAGTTCGGAAGATGTGTTCGTACATTTGTGCATAGGTGTAGATATGCTCGTATAAAGATACAGATATAGATACTTTTGTCGTTGTTTTGTTTTAGTTTTGGGGGCGTTTTACTGCGTTGAATGTTCTGTCGGCGGCAAAAGCTGGAAAGATCTTTTGTTTTAAGCCGCCGCCGACATTGCCAATGATTGCGCCACAGAATAACTTCAGTTTTCAGATTATTAAGTGCGGCCGACTAGCCAGCCTGGTATTTAGTGATGCTTTAATAATGGGCGCAGGTTATAATTTCAGTATCTTCTGCCTCTGCTGCTTCTTCGTCTTATTATGAGTCTTCCACTACTCTTCACTACACTTTTTCTACTGTTTTTTCTAATTTGCTTGTGTTGTTGTTATTGTTGTTGTTATCGCAAGCGGGCATGCAGGAAAGCAAGGCAACGAAGCAACGAAGCAACCTGTTGTTAAGAGTTGCATGCGACTTTTTGGTGATCGGCGCTGTGGTATGGCAAGGTAAGGTAAGTAGTTGCGCTAAAAAAAGGGGTTAATCGATTTTAAATCGTTCGCGATGGTATTTTGATTGAGGCAATAATTCATTTCTTCTGCTATTGTAATAAAAGCAGAAGAAGTTCGGTTTTTTGGTTGGGTTTCCTCTTGACAGTTTTGTCTACAGCCACAAATTTTTGATAATTTGAATTATTTTAATTTACATTATTTTTCGAAGATTAATGATGATGGACGTGAAGCGACGAACAAATGACAAAGAATTTACAAATTGTTTGGAATTATTCCAGAAGAAATAATATACATACAAAATCAATATTGGGAATTTATCGAATTGATCGATATTAGTTTTAACACATCCCGGAATATAACAGATGATATGAAAACGAATTAATAATACCATTAAGAGGAATTTAATATTACAATTAATGAAATTAGGTTTTCAAATTTTTGTTTTACATTTTAATAATATTAATATATTGATATTATATAATATTATAATATAATATAACATTAATATATAATGTTAATATTATCCAGATTATAGTAATTTCAATAAAAAATAAAACACACTTTCATTCTGACACAATAATTATTGCTATACGAAGAGATGTATAGAACTCAGTTAGAAGCTATTCATATATATAACTCCTATATAAAGTCTCCTTCATAAGAGACTTCACACCATGCATATGACCTATCAAAACTTTCCACTACATTGTATATTCTATGAACTTCAACTGTGGTATTATTATTTGCAAATAAAGAATTAATGAAAGTGATATTTCATTTTCCAATCAATCGGTAATAATTTCTCTCATACATAAACAGACACTATGGTTACATTTACAGGCGTCAATAATCCATCTGATTCAACTACTTTTTGTTAATCGACATTTTCCAAATCAATGTAAAAAGTTGCTTAAAATACTGAAATTACCAAAATCTGTTGTCAAGTCATGAAATATCCCCAAATATATGGTATAGACATAAGCTCTATTGGTATCTGAAACAAAAACTGGATTCAATAATTCCAAGTTACAATATTGATTGAATTAATTTAGTTTCCATCTTGGATTAGTAAACTAAATCGATTGATGCTTTACTGTGCACCTGCTTATACTAGAACTGAACTAGTGCAGCTGTAGACGAGTTCACAAAGGCCATTTTAGATCCATAACTGAAATCTAATTAATAATGGGAAAATATGGCTAATAACTTAACCTTTTAAGTCCCGTCAGGTACAGAAATTAAATTGACTCTCTAACTACAAGGAATCGACCTTTCTTAGCAATAAACTTTGCTGATCAATCTAATGAAATCTAAATGGGGTTTCTCTTCTCTCTTTTTTACTCAATGTTTGATAGCTCAATGTAAACGTAGAAGCAGTTCAATCTATTAACGACTTCAGAAGTATCGCACAAGGAAGAAAAAGTTCTCATAATTGAAGTAATAGAAATGAGACGTGTACCGAAAATTTTGGAATTTATTTAATTCCTGGTTTTTGCTGCTACGTAGTATATAGAACAACAAGTTCCAATACAAGCTTAAGACCAATCTTATCGTTTCTAATCGTAATAGTGCATGGACCTTAAAATAGTTAAAACTTGTATCTGAAGCTTTAAAATTACTATTAGCTACAATTTAACCTCACGTTACTGAGTGTTCAAATCCATAGTCAAATGGAAGGAGTTTTCGCTGTGGAACATAACTCAGTACGAGGTTTAGCCACCGCCACTCTCTCGTTCCAAATGCCGCGGTGCTTGCACATATGTGACTCGGATGCGGGAATATTTTTGGGTTTTTTTGGCTTCTGATTGTGCTGTACTGTGTTTTGGTAAAAATAAATGACAAGTGTATCGACTCTAAATCACATTAATTTGTAACCCAAACAAACTTGATAAATTGTGTTTGGTTTGTGCACGGAAACACACAAAAACGAAAATAAAATTTTCGAAAAACAAATAAATTAAATGGCATCGCAAAAAACATAGTCTGTCTCCAGTAAAATATCGCCGACCATTTTGTGACGTATTTGCGGTTAGTGACGCCAATTTAAATCAATTGAAAATATGGCGAATGTAATGAAAATTTATGCTCACATCCAATGGAGTGCTCAGCTCACATCCAATGGGATTGAGCCGCCATGTGCAGCGATGCAAAGTGCCTTGGAATGGATTTAAAGCAGCAGCTCTATAGTAGTGCACCCATGTAGCATCGCAATATCAAGCATAATTGGAATTTTTGGCTTAGAGTGTTGGCAATGGGTAAAGCGTGAAGAGTTGGAGTCGACATACTAAATCTGACGAGAAGACACAAATTTCAAGTATCGCCAAAACAGGAGAATAACATTTTTATTTCAAATATTTTTGTGATTCGGCAAATTCACTATACAAGAGATTTTTACTAGAGCACTGCTAATTAAGCTTAGAAGAAAAAACGAGATTACGAATGGAACTTCATAAGGCTACACTGCTTCTAATATTTACTGAATATGCCTCCAAAATGCAATTTTTGTTGGATGATAAGATCGATGTCTATATGAGTAAGCATGCCCATATGTTGTTGCAATTGATAATAGTAGTATCAACACGAAGAGCAGTAAGATGAATGCGACATCCTTTAAAATATTGAAATAAATGTAGTAATACATTCAACTACGTGGGTCACTACTGATATTTTGAGCCTTGGCAACACTGATTGTTGTCAGGTATCGTCAGATGATACCATACGAAAGTTTGATATTGATATTGATTTTTTGTCAAAAGAGCGTTATTTGTGTTACTCGTATTTACAGTGATTTGATTGAGTGATCGCGAGAAAATGGAATTAACATAAGAAAGTTTTCGTGCGATGATTTATTACGACTTTCAAAGTGAATTATCAAGACAAGAGTGCATCGATCAGCTTACTTCCACATTTGGCGGTGAAACTCCATTATTTTCTCTTGTGAAACGCTGGTACAATGATTTTAATAGTGGTCGCAGTTCGCTCACAGACCTCACTGAAATTGTACGATCATTTAGCAGTGAGAAAGGTTTGTTCTGGATGGATCCCGCATCATTTGACAAATACTAAAAAAGATGCTCGTGTCGATTGGTGCACACAAATGCTCAAGAAGTACAATGACAGTGTTTCGAATGACGTATATAAGATTGTACCAGGTGAGGAATCGTTTGAACCGGAACATAAGCTGCAGTCGACTTTATGGGTGTTTCAAGATGAATCAAATCTAACAAAAGTTGTTCTCACTTGGAGTACTGCTTTACAAATGGGCGCTTGTCTTTTCGGGAAAGCTGGTCATGTGGCAGCTATACAGATAGCATTACAGGAACGTAAAACAGTCAATTCCAAATAGTGTACAACTACCATATTTGTGTACTGGAAGTCTTCAGTAAAATACGGAAAACAAACAAGCGCCGTCGAATCATTCTTCATTCTTCATCTTTATCAAGACAATGCGAGTGCATACACATCTCGCCTAACAATCGACTATTTAAATACTCGAAAAATCGAATTTTAGTCATCTTCTACGTTAGCAATGTCTTATCTTAGGAATATATTAACCTCTATCCCGAAGGGGGAGCAAATCTAACGCTAATAAACGGTGCTGATCGGATTAAACTTTTAGTGAATCCTGATTTTTATGGGTTTTGACATTTAAAATAAATTTAAAAATATTATTATATATAAACCTATGCGATAAGCCAATAAAGGTTTGTTGTGCGAAGGGTATTGAAGCGTTTTTAACTCTGCAAACATGTTGAGAATTCTTTTAATGAAATTCACAGAATTTCATTTATCTCAAATTTCAAAGTTAAATTCAATTAAAATTGATTGCACTATTTAAGTGAATTGAACACTGACTGTATATGTGAGCGAAGTGAATGCGCTTTGCTCATAACTGATATCAATTAATGTACTTTGTTTCTATTATCACGTATTCTTGAATCTTCAGATCTGTTCACTGATGCAATAACTGTCGTTATTTCTATTGGTTGTCTGTGTGGAGATTTAAGTCCGTGGTGACTCGAGAAGTTACAAATTCAGATATGAACGAAACAGTTTTTGGAAGCAATTTTTCATTCTTTCGAGACTGATTTTTGTGATCAATGTTTCACTCAATTTGCAAATTTTGTGTTGGATGATTGCTAAAAAAAATGCTTCTTTACCTGCTAAATTAACGCACTAGCGAATCTGCAGGAGTTTCGGATATCTAAATATTAAAAACTGCAAATATCAAAAATGCAGCAAAAAAAAACGAAAACAAAATTTAATAATAAAAATTCAGTTAAAAGACTGCAAATCGCAACTGATGAACAAAACACCAAAACAAAGCCTCACCTAAAGTCGCAACTAAAGACGCAGATCAGTGTTGATCCTCATCAGCTCATCAGCAGCTCACCAACACACAGCGGCACACAAACTGCCTGCAAACGACGGTAAGGTAACAGCAGACATTGTGTGTGTTCGTTCGATCGCGTCTGTGATCACTTCTCGTCTGTCCGAGTGGTACAACGGTTGCATGATCGTATGTCTGTCTATTAGCCATAAAGTCTGTCAGTCTACAGTGTTAAGCTTTAGCTTATGGAATTACAAAATCAATTTTATATATATACGTATATATATCTGCTGTTGTTGTTGCTGTTGCTGTTTTTGTTGTATTATAATTTAAGCAAAAATGTCTTACGCTCGTCATTTGCGCGATTTTAAGCTGATGATCAGCGACAAACGATCTTTCACTCACAATCACCGGTGCTCGGTATGATGGATTCATACCTCCAACAAATTTGCCACTGATGAATGATTCTGTTGCTGTTTGTTCGATGATGCGGGATTTATGGTAAGTCATTTGCGTTACACAATAAATTTGCATGTGAGCGATACGATAAATGCAAACATGGTGCAGATATTTCATTTGGCTTCTGGAATGTGTGGTAGCAGTTTACAGCATTGGATGATGACGATGATGACGCTAAAGCTGACGACGATGACGATGACGATGACGATGATCTATCTATGTTTCACGTCATGTAAATGTGTGCATATCCGATATGTGTCCGACTGCATGCGCTGACTGTTTATTTGCCCGTTCTCGGTTAAATTTGGTCTGTTGGTTCTGGTAGAATTGATCTGTGTATGTTTGTATTTGTAAAGCATGGAAATTAAATACGTTTTATGGCATTATGACAAGCGTAATTATTTCGGATTTCTTATTATGCTTGTCAAGATGATGTAATTCCGAGAATTGATTTCGGGTTTTTAACCAACTTCTTAGTTTTATTTAAATTAAATTTAATAACATTTTTATAAAAACTTTTTCGTATCAGAATTATCACTTTTAAAACTGTTTATTCTAAATATTAAATACAGGCGTATCCATTTTGTAGTCTCGAAAGTAAATGAAATTTTCTGACTTAAGACTTAAACTTTGAATCAATTTATTCCATTCCAATATATTATGTCCATTGACCCTACTATTAGGCGAGATATACAAATTTATTTAAATGTCCATTATGAGAAACCTTACATTACTGAATATTTTTAAGGTTACTTGACGGGATTATTTGATATATTTAATCACTTGATGGGAGATAGCTATACTAAATCCTTTTGTGATCATTTTTAGTGACTTAAATGAATATAACTGATAATGACACGACCACAAATTGACGAATGATCGGTTTCACAGCGTTAAGAGTCATAGCATTGTACGCGTAAATACGATATTTTGGGTAGGTTCAGAAAAAAAATAAAAAGGTTTCCGACAACAGTTTACATTTTTACCAAACAGTCTTTTTCATAAATAAGTACGGTTTTCATTGCTGTGCCTTTCAATAGATTGCTAGTAGTGGCTATATTCGAAGAAAAAAATGTTGTGAACCAAGTTTTACAACCATGCAGGTTCCTAAATATACATTAAGACCGAAAAGTTTTCGGAAATTCTCATTTAAAATTCGCGCGCTGTATATTTTTCGATATTTTAAGTTTATGTAGTTTGGCAGCAATTAAGGCCTTAATTACTATGCCAAAAATGAGCGCGATCTGTCAGACAGTTCGTTTACGGCAGCTGTTGAAACCAGTTCACCTCAGTAGGGCGTTGCGAAAAAAACAATGGAAAAAAATATTGAACAAAGAGTTTGCATCAAATTTTGTGTTTCGAACGAAATTTCGTGTGCAGAATCGTTGCGAATGCTACAAAAGGCTTATGGGGAATCAGTTTTATCGAAAACTCAAGTTTATGAGTGGTACAAAGCCTTCCAGGACGGTCGTACGACCGTCGAAGACATTTCGCAACGCACTACTGAGGTGAACTGGTTTCAACAGCTGCCGTAAACGAACTGTCTGACAGATCGAGCTCATTTTTGGCATAGTAATTAAGGACAGTGCTGCCAAACTACATAAACTTAAAATATCGAAAAATATACAGCGCGCGAATTTTAAATGAGAATTTCCGAAAACTTTTCAGTCTTAATGTAGTTCAAAAATGCAGATAAGCCAACGCTTTATAAGAATCGAAGAAAATATCGACAATCTTTTTGTTTGAAAAACTTAACTTTTATGTGGAAAATATAAAGATATTGCAGTTTCTCTCATATTGCAGGTTCAATTATTGTCCTTCAACCCGCTCTTTGGTATCTCAGGGGCAGGTCATCTTATTTTAGAAAATAATCCACAATGTCAAATTGTTACAATATTTCCTTAACTTGCAGCAATTCTCACAGGTCTTTAATGATAGTAGTAAATCAAAGCTAATAAAGCAGTGCAAAATTCAACTTAAATAAGTGAAAAACTATCGCACAATATCATTGATCTGGGGCTACTAAGTTAAATTCTGGACCAATTAGCGTAATAAGGATCAAAGGCATTCTCACCAGAGAACCAAATAGAAATCCCATTAAAGGATTATTGAAAACACAATCACAATTATTAAGCAGCAGAACGCAAATCTAAAACTACAATTGGATGCGATAAATCCGAACTAACATAACTATGCTACTTAATCGATTACTGAAGGGCCACAGGCCATTGGGAACCCAATCAATCAAAAATGCACAAGTTGCAAAAAAGAAGAGAAAAACGAAACGACTGAACACTTCTTACCGAATGCCCAGGTTTGGGAACATTGAAACACACTATTATGGAATTCATGATTTTCATGAGTTGGTTTGTGGTAACAAAATAGTGCTTAAGCGCTACCTAGATAAAAGAGTATGCCCCACTTCAACTAAAACCAAGCAACCGCCATGGGTTATTGTGTCATCGTTTGGAATAGAGTTCTGTAATGCACTATATTTTTTATTTTTATAAATTAAGAAGTGCTAGTTACTTTTGTGATTTGATTTAGCAATAGTCAACCCAACATTAAAATAAAATTCATTTGACTCTTACTCTCTACAGCGGACTTAGTGTCTATGAAATTATGGATTTGATTCGTTACGTTATATTGAAACATAAGCCTTATTATATGGACAGATCTTGTTGTTGTAGAAATAAATTATTTAATTTTAGTCTAGACTTTTTCGAAGACTCTATTAGTCTTATGTTGAATTAGTGATACTTTTCATGCGATCCCTAAATATATGTCCCACGAAATATGTTAACATTTTTATTTTGAAACCTCTCCAAATGAAAATTGAATCAGATTGTTTTAAAAATACTTTTTTCCCTTTATTTGACCTACCAAAACAGCGTTTTACTGTCACGGAGCCATCAACTCTTCTTTTGTTCGATCTCATGAGGCAATTAGCTCGAATTTCAAAGGCCTGAACGGTAAAAGTATAATTGGACGGATTTTCCGTATTGTTACTTGACATCGACATGAAAATTTTGACACGTCATCGCGTAGTGTTTTTTACCTAACAATTCCTAGTGTTTATCTCTTCTTAAACAATTCCTAAAAATTGTTGATCGTAGCGTTTCTGCTGTCTTCGGTTTGTTTGAAATTGGAAACGTAACTAATTTCCCTTCAGCATTTTCCGTCTGTTGTTCGAAACCGAATTTTAATTCTGTTCTGATTTGGATTTCAATATTTTTGTTACTGTTTTTGTTACATGTGAATTCCGTGTCGACTCAAAAAAGTGGTCAACATTTTCCGCCAAAGCATATCACGGCTGTCAATACCGCAGCTAAGTCAGCGGTTAGCGCGAGCATGACGGTCTTAGCTGTTTGATTGACATTTTGTGTGCGGCAAATGCACCGATTTTGATTTCGATTTCGAGCTACAAGGACCAGCACAGACCAGCTAATTGCAAGTCGAAAGAAAAGTTGACAAAGGCCGCAATTCCATATCAGTTTCGCGTTCACCCCCTCTCTTCTTCGACGGTATCTATCTACGGTTTTGAATTTTGTATATTT